AACCAGAGCAAATCGCATCCCAATGCAGTTCCTCGGGCCTGCTCCAAAAGGCATGTAGCTGTACGGATCAATTGTCTCCTTGTTTTCCTTGCTGAACCTGAGAACACACACACACACACACACACACACTATATTAACAACAGAAACGGGGTTATATCCCACAGAGCTTCATTCTGCTTTGTCACATCAGACACGTGTGAATCCTTTCCGTACCTCTCAGGTTTGAATTTCTCTGCTTCAGGCCAAATCTCGGGGTCCCGGTGCATCGGCCAGGTGGGGACCATGACAACCATACCTTTTGGAATCACAAAGCCATTTATCTCCACACTGGCCTTGGCCACACGCTCCAAATGTGAAGCAATGGGGAACAATCGGAGAGACTCATTGATGACACAGTCGAGATACTCCATCTGCATTAGTTCCTGGTACTGGATGGGAGTCTGAACACAAGCACATAAACATGAGTGATGATGATAGAGACATAGTAAGAAGCTGAACCCTGTGCTGACTTTATATATGACTACAATTTATAAAATAATATAATCACCATAACACAATATTATTATAACACATTATATCTACTGTATGATTTACTTTAGTTTAATTATGCTAGAAAAAAAAATATTGTCTTATATTAAGAATTCTGAGTTGTTACCTTGTTAGGGAAGGTTGCATCCACCTCCTCCTGCAGCTTTTTCATCACCTGAGGGTTTGTTGCCAAATTGTAAGACAAGAAAGTGAGAGAGCTGCTGGTCGTTTCGTAGCCAGCAAAGAGGAAAGTCATCGCTTGGGAAAGGATCTCATGATCTGTCAGACCTGAGGAGGTAGGAGGGATATACACGTTAGAACAGCTTTAAGCTGGTTTTTCCATGTGTGGAGACGTGTGTCCGTGTATCACCTTTATCCTGTTTGGAGTTATTATTTTGCTGAGAGTCGATCATTAGCTGGAGGAAGTCCACTCGAGTCTGGAAGTCAACAAACACAGTTTGAAAACAGCTGTGATTTTATGTCAGAACAGGTTATTGGTACAAACACAAACTCACAGCTGTACCTTTTGCTTGCTGCCCTCACGATCAATCTTGATCTTCTGTAGCGCAGCGTAAAAGAAGTCTGTCACAGATGTAGGGAAAAAGGCGAAGTCCAGTTTTTCCAATATGGGAATCATGAAGGGAAAGACGGCTGAAATTAAACAAACAAGAGGACATTTATTAATGGAAGATGAAGGACAGCAGCTGCATTGATGGACATGTTGTAGTGGTGCCCAGTTTGATCCCAGGAGGAGACACAAATCCTTTAGACTGCACCAGGAAAAAATCTGCCAAAACAAACATGCAGAGCTACAAGCCAAGGTAAACACAAAAGGAGCTTCATGTATCAAAATGAATACTTTACCAACAGTGAGGACGATGGGGCTGAAAAGGTCAAATTTCAGCATCTTTTTGATGTTCGTGACAAAAGGATCTGACGGGTTGTTGAGAGAGTCGATGTCCATACTGAAGGCGGTGCTGGTTACCACATCCATACTGTAGGGTCCAAAAAACCTGCAAAACCACACAAACACATCAAACATGACCTTTATTAATGCAGACTTAGAAGAGGTGAATCTGTGCTTTTTCTGATGTATTTAAATGAAAACAGTATGAGAGATCTCACTCTTTCAGCTCTAGAGGTTCATCTTTATCTGCTTTCTTTTTCATGCTGCTGATCAGGACAGCTGAATGCTGCTTCATGATGTCAAACATCTGAGGCACAAACAGACAAAAAACAACAACGTCAAAAATGTTGAAACCGGATGCAATTACAACAGCACAGAGTATATATTGGGACTTCCAGGCCATACTCGGCACAGATGTTCCTGTACACTATGCCGGCCACTTGGTTATGGCGTTCCATGTATGCCCTGCCTGCTAGCATCTTGCACCCTGCCGTCATGAGCTGGATTGTCTGAGGGGCATCTTTACACAGCCTGCACCTGGGGCCTTGCCTGGTGTGATAGACCCCAGCCTCTATGGATCTTGTGCTCAGAGCTTGTTCCTGTGCTGCCATGATTAGTGCCTCTGTGCTGTCTTTCAGTCCAGCTTTGTCCAGCCACTGGTAGGACTTCTGGTACATACCGTGCAGGGGCCTGTCCTTCCATAATGGTTCCTCGTCTTACTCCTCTTTCTCAGGTTTCTGCTCCCTGAGGTATTCACTGATGCTTCAGTTGGGGCCATCTTCCTGATGTATTCGTGGCTGTTCATTGTCTCATCCTGGACTGCCTCCTTCCTTCTGCTTAGCGTACAGCCTCAGGTTGCCTGAATTGGGGTGAAACCCTCTATGAGTGGTAAGGAACTTCTGGCTTGATGTCAGTGGCTTCTATCTGCTCCTTTGGCCAGCTTATTATCCCAGCAGGGTACCTGCCCATATGGAAAAGATATAAATTGTAATAGAGTGAATTTGTTGCCCCCAGTGGTAAAATACAGAAGTGCCTGTTACAGGGCTAGTTCTTGGTTGACCAATATATAACAACAAAAGGGTAGTTTTGTGCACCGCTAAGAAACCAACAAGTTAGTGTGTGATGTCCTGCTGTTCAATAAAGCACCTATCCACGTCCTTCTGTCCTGATCTTTCAAAGAGCCTAATCCAGAATATCACAACT